AAACGGCGCGCTTACCACGTTCATGGCCCGAGGGTCAAGTCCCGCATAGGCTACCGCCTAAGCCAACCGTGTCTTCTACCCTCCCAGGATGGTAAATTGGTTCCTAGATTTGTCTGGAAGGATAAGAAAACGGACCCGTACATCGATTGTCCTCCGCAAGTCGTTGTACAGCTCACATCGCATTCAGTATGCCACTACGATTCTGAATGGAATGTAGAATATGTGCCCATCTCCAAAAAGGGATTGATCAACGGCGAAGATCTTTATCCTTTGTTCGTTCGCCTAGCTAAGTTAGTCTTATTAATGGGTAAACCAGGGCTATTGGTGTTGTTGGACGACGTGAGACTCGGTTCCGTGTGAAATGGTGTGGTTGTGCCATTTTCCCAGTCACGCTCAGCTACGAATTTTGAAGAGGTGGTCATTATGGAACGAGCACACCTTAAGAGGGCTATCGTGTCCGGTTATTTTTGGTAGAAAATAAGGACACCGCCATTGTCCCACTTTCCCTCTGTTCGCATGGTTTGAGTGTTCCGTTGGGAGTTTTCCTGACTCTTCCAGATCTCTAAATCAGGAGGTAGGGAGCTCGGAATTGCAACGATTGCGCCAAACCTTCCATGGCTGCGGAGCTTGGCTTCATTTTCGATAATAGAGACGACATTCTGGTTCATTCGCTTTATTTTTGCATATGCTTTCTGCTTCTGCTGCAGGAGCGAGTCTCACGAGCTTTCAGCGCAAAGAAGCTTCTCATCCTCACGGAGTCGGTTAATTGGTACCAGATTTGTGTGCGAGCGTGTGCTGGTGGCCGATGTCTGGTTCTTTTCCACAAACACGGTATAGCTAGTTCTGGAGCTGCCAAGAGACCCTGTAGCGCAAAAGCAGTTACTCATACCCGGAGGTTTACTCGGGAGATCCGCAATTTTCAAACAGGTGGATTTCTCCCGAGTTCACGGGAGCTTGCACGACAAGAAATTTTATCAACTGAATCACCCTCGTCGTGGGTTGTTCGAGTTTCATTTGTTGCTTACAGAGGAGGGCAGCCGCCTGCTGACGACTTGCAGTCATTTATCTTCCACTCACGAACTGATCGAGAGGAGATGGGAAGTGGGGCGCAGGATCAGTCTAGTGCATCGTTCTTTAGGATTGGGTGCATGTGATTGTTGTGCATCTGGTTCGATATTCGCCCATTATTTCTGACTTCTGCACACTTCTGAGCGTACTATACCGTGCACTTGATGATGACTTCACAGAATGCCTATTCCTTTTGAAGATTTTTAAGAAGCTTTTCTGAAACTCACCTTTGTTCTGGTTTCTTGTTCGAAGATGCCGTTACTCTGTCTATGGTTCGTTTTCCTCCATCATTTGGAAAGAAATTAAAGGGACAGTTCAGCCGAAGGGTAGGGCATTGGGGGGAGGCATTGTTTCAGCTTCACAAGAGTTCTTAGGTTTCATCGGAGTGAAACTGTAAAGCGGAACTACTGAAGCAGCGAATGTGCAGAATGTCTCCCCCCAATCCCTCGTCGGCACCGAAATAAAATAATTCTTTTGAACTTTATCGTTGGAGCATGAATGCATTAAGGGCTGAGTATAGAGATCAGAGATACGAAGTGCTCGGTATTGGTGAGACCCCGGATTGGCTTCCGGCCAAACAAACCAAGTCTTCTACTTTCCGGGGCCGGCAAATTGGCGAACTCGTCTGGAGGATGAGAACACTGATCTGTACATCGGATTGCCCCCACCCCCCAAGCCATTGTACGGGCCATACCTTCTTCACTGAACCACCGCGCTTCATGAAAGTGGGATGCATATCGCCTCCACCAAGAACGAAGTGCTACTCTTCATTTCATTTTTCATAATATTTGCTACTACACCTATATCATGATGTTATCCTAAGCCCGTTCCAATGATGTTATCCGGAATTCAGGACCATTTATCATGAACGTAGCCTGTGTTTTCGATGGCTCGGGAAGAGTGAAGGTATAGGATTCATTTCGTATGGGAACTGCGCTCAAGCACTGGGCGAGAATTGTTTTTAAACAGGTTGGAGGGATGTGAAAATACTTGGGCGCTGTATTTGCACAAATCCATTCCCCTGATAGCTCTTCTGACGAGATCATTTTGATATCTACACCTATCCGTTTTTGCTTTTTGGTCAAAACCTGACACACTTGAGAGCTTTCACTTCTCCATAGTTCCTCTCAGAAGCTGAAAGAACTGGTCATGGGGAGAGCACTCTCAGTGTGTTGTGGGTGGTTCTCATAAGTATGATAATCTGACAGTAAAAAGACAAGCGCTTACAAGCAGGTATATGCCGATTTTCCCCACGACACTTAGGATTATCACTGACTTCATGATTAATCAACAAAATGGGTGAACACTCTTACTGTATTGGGCCCAGAATTTACAATTGAAACCGCCACAGGGTCCTGGTCCGATGAGTTGGAAACGTGAACCTAAAGTAGAAGAATGGTTCTATGCTTTCTTTACAGTGTTAGTGTGAGTACATACTAGCGTAATAGTCACCATTTAATCTCGTCCCTGGTTGAAGCGCAGCGTTTACAGCGAGCGAATCCCTGTTTGCCTGTGTGGTCCACCCTTGTTTGGTACCTTTTGCCCTTCGAGACGGCGAATGAGAGTGATTTTAGTCAAATTGATTAAATTTGGAAATTAAATAAGTAGAAGTGGTCATCCAGAGGTAAGGGAATTTGTATGATGCAACAAACTGAGTAAACAACGGTATTTCAGCTCAAAGTCTGCGTTTGCGATCGGTTCACCGTCCAGTGTTGAGGATTGGTCGAAGAGGCATAATGCAAACCAGATGAGCACATTCAAGCCGAGCTACGACGAAGGTTCGTGGGTTGACATGCTTGGAATTCCTTTCATCCGTTCGAATAAACTTCATTTGTTTTGGTTGTTTCTTTTGAAAATCTCAGCTCGTTCGTAAAAGAATGGGGTTATTCCTCGATTCCGTTTTTTCCTCGCCAATGGTCGCAATTTTCTTGGATTATTTATGGCGTTCCATTATGGCTGACGTTCCGAGTCATGAATTTTTGCGCTGACCTAGATGAAGTGTGTGAGTAGTGGGAAAATGGTGACACTTCAGCAAAACCAGTCATTAGACCCAGTCACTTGGTTTCCAGCTCATTTCCTAGCGGGTGGCGCCTTCACGTAGCTTGTCATATGGGGAAGATGGGGGCACATTTAACTACTACTTGCAAGGTAAAACCTTCGGGATTGTTTAACCTTCAAGTTGAGCATACCCTACTCTGAGAACAATGAATTCCTCATACTTGAGCCTATTCCATGCTCCAAATGGGTTCGAAGCATGGCCTGATTGGAAAACTCGTCAGAGCGCCGGCAAACTTCTACCGTGTGGGGGGAGAAAGGAATTTTGCTTCTGACGTTTTTGAATGTTTTGCTTTCCTGTGTTCTCTTCATAGGCGTATCACTTTGCACCATGTGGTTCATATAGTGAGCCTCGCGCCCGTCATCTTGCCATCGTACAGCGTATGTTTAAAGCAATGGTCCATCATTAGAGGGTGGTATTGCTGTTATGCTACTGTCCTGATTAGTAAATAATGTTTCCGAAAAACAGCCATCCTGCGGTTTTTAAAAAACGACTTGGGTTTGAACTTGCAAAAACACATGTTACATTGCTTTAAATATTTGCTAATCAGTCCGAATTCGTACCGCTTACTCTTTGTGAACCTCATCGGAGAAGAGAAGAGAGCGTGAAGAATAACTTTGGCACTGTGTACCCTTTGCTGTCTCGCTCTTCGAAATTCAACCCGCATTACGACCATGACTTTCCCCATGGGCGGTTTTCGATTTTTTTTTTCTCGTTGGAACTATGTGATGTGGAAAGCTATTCCTCCTCTTATCTTCTTCTTTTAGCATATCTTGCATGAGTGTATAGCGTCAACTTCCCAATTTCTCTTTGTTATCTACTTCCCTATTTTGCCCTTATTTCGCCCACCCCGCCACACTGACGTTTCCAGGATTGGCAAAGTTACAATGGTTCGTAAATGGTTAGGGGATGAAACAAACCATTGCTGTTTTTGTAGTGGTTTTTCTACATATGTCTATTTCTTCTTTCAATTCGCTAGGATATTGTCTGTCGGGGTTTGGCTCCTGAACAGGGAAACTACATCCGCTTAACTCAAAAAAACTCATCCCGCCTAACATGCCCCTTCATCCGCAGTGAAGAGGACTGCACCTCTACGTGTTTCGGTTCCAATCGGATGTGATAGTTGTGGTCAAGGATCAGTAACCTCTGGGGACGGAACTGTGGCCGAATGTTTACGCTTAGAAAATTTTCTATCCTAGTGCGGTACGACTTCCGTGGACGAGAAAGAAAGGGTGAATAGGGCCAAGCCTTCTTTCTGAGTGATAGTTCAGTGCTTGTAAAATTCTCCTGCATCCAGCTGTAATTGGTACATTAAAAACTATTTGGAAATACTGCTGAAGAAGGGTTTTTGGAGGATGGAATCAAGCATGATTGTATTTTAGTAGGCATAGTTCGTTAAACGATTTCTCACAGAGAAGTGTGGTGGTGTAAACCAACTGCTAGTCGGTCTGACCTAATGGCCATTAAGTGGAATCTCCGCTCAAGTGCATATAATTTATTACAGTGCATATAATAGGATAGAATGTAATTTTTAAGTCTGTTGTGTGTAGAATGCATACAGCAGAAATAAAAAAACATGTCACTTTATTTTATCCGATGTATTCCAGTAAAGGCTGAATTGCATGTGCTTGAGCGAAGATCCCATTTGATAGCCATTTGGTCAGACCAATTAGCAGTCGGTTTACAACGCTGCACTCTACCCTTGTGAAATGGTAAAACGATTTACTCATATCAAACCCATACAATCTTGCCTAATTTTACCCATCACTCCCATCGCAACCCTTTCTGTAGAAGTGATCGAGTGGTTTTCCATGGTTCCTAGAGTCATGTGCTGGAATACAAATAGAAACCTTTCGCAATGCTATAATGTTTTCATATGATTCGATCAATATTGAATACCTGTTTAGTGGTGATGTCAGCTCGCGTGTGTCCGTTGCCGATGCGACGTGAGCGTAGTGACCTTTGTGCGTCGTCCGTCATGCGTTTAGCCCGACATACCGAACGCAGTCCTGGACCCACTTGCACAATGAGCACGGCCGTAAAACCGTTGCAAACGACAGTTCCAAAACGCCAGCCCTTGCGGCCGCCCGATACGGCGTGTGATCCCAAGATGATAAGCAACTGTATCGATGAATTACGACGGAGGCGGTGAGTCATAAACGGCTTTTATCAGCATCAATCCTCTTATCAGGTGTTTTTCTTAAGATAAGCATAGGTTGTATTCTTTTCTTCTTTTTGTATAGATTTTCATTTGTCCGTGTTTTTTGGACCAAAAATTTTGACAGTTAACTTTTTCACTGTTACAGACTCCAGCTAACAAGCGAAAACTCGACAGAGCAATCGTCTCCGTTTAGCAGTCCCCAAATTTCACTTAGGTGAGAGTTCTCTCTTGAGTATAGATGTCATAATTTTTGGAAGTAGTGTATATTTCGATTTCTATCCCTTCACTGACCTTTCCATTGCTACCTTGTCCATTTTAGGTTTCTTTCTTTTCTCTGGTGACAAACACGGTGTAATTTGAAGTGGCGCCGTTAAAGGGCAAAC